ACGAAGGTATAAGGTATGTATCCCATGGGTTATTTGCTAAAACTCATACGAAGAATAAATTCTTACGAGAGTAAAGCATTCACCCCGACTAACTTGGATCGAAGCTCGTGTCTAGAGCTCATGTTATGTGAATGCACGTGATGTGTGTGAGGAGGAACGTACCTACCTTCGACCCAAAAGGAAAACAAAACAAGGAAAAAAAATGATAAAATCTTGATAAAGCTGAAAGCCAAAAATAAAATGTTAGTATGACAAAAACGAAGCAATTAAAAATTTCACTAAACGGATCATAAGTTAACTATGTACTCAAACTTATAATTTCCACTAAGACGACAATGTGTAAGCGACCTACAGCTTGACTCTCTAAAAAAAGCCATCCCCAGCAGAGTCGCCAAGCTGTCATAACCATTTTTAGGTGGAACAATTAAATATTATTTTAAAAAACGATTACGACTTTAATTTGGAAAAAATGGGTGATTTTGAATTGATTTGAATAAAATTAAAAAGAGTCGCCATCAACCTTTGGGTTAGGTAGGTCGAATACCTAAAAACGTCTTTTAAAACAATTTTAAGAAAAATCATTTTTTTAGACAAGATTCGGTCTGCGTTACCAAAGATTCATTTAAATGGATTCGGGAGTCGGTTACGTGTGGGGAAGGGTAAACACCCCACAACGCCCAAAACTGGTACTGTGTCGCTTACACATCGTCGTAAATGGTGGAAATTACAAATTGAATATAAAACTAAAATATGATTTGTTTATTGAGATTTAATTAATTTAATTCGAATTATTTTATCAGAGAAAATTCTTTAATTTGAAAAGAAATCTCGAGATTAACAATCCTCCGTCGGGAAAATTAACTCGTCTATTTCTTATCTTTTAAAGAATATTCTCTCATCATTTATTTAAAAATGTGTATCGAATATAAAATGAAATTTTAATTTTTACATTCACATAAAATAAAGTGAGCATCACTTAAGGTACCACACATTTCAATAAATTAATAGTAAAATATACTCGACTTGTTACAAGTCCCTATGTCGTTAAAATGCCGTATCGGATCGTACCACTTCGACCAAGTGGTACTTTCCACGCCCATTCTACGCATACGTGTTCTTGAAAATATAATCGAATATTTCTTACATAGATAAAAATCTAATGAGAACAAATGTAATTGGAAATACAAATATTTACAGTAAATGGAATTAAACACATTATTTACATAACACAAATAACCATGTAATATGTAAAATACATTCATATAAATGACTAAAATACAAATAAATAAACATTACAAACCAAAATAAAATACAAAAATAAGTAATTAAGGGACTAAAACAAATTAAAACATAAATTCGTAAGGGCAAACAATAAATTTACCTAAAGTATTTATACTAAAACATTGACCATAATGTAAACAAAGTAAATTAAAAATACTAATTAAAATAAAGAAAGGTAACATTCAATGACTGAAATGAAACATTTGTAAATATTAAAACCAGAATCGAACATAAACAAAAATAGTATGATAAATAGCATGAGGGACTGAACAATAATTAAACCAAATACCCAACAGTGACTAATATGTAAAATACATAAATATCCTGTCCAAATTCGAACATTCACAAAAATACATAACACACGAAATTAGTGACTAAAATACAATTATTATAAATATCATAGCCTAAATTAAAAACTAATGAAATTGAAATAAATAACCAAATATGGACTGAAATGAAACAAATCTAAACTCTAAGGCGAAAAATCAAATAATTACACAAACCATGCAAATGAGGACTAAAACAATTTCACAGAAACATGGAGGATCAAAAGGTAATTAAATAAAATGTCAGGCAGTGACCAAAATAGAACATTTGCAAAGATGATGGCTAAACTCAAACATCCACAAAATATCACAACACAAGAACTTAGGACTAAAATGAAACTATTACAAACATAATGTCCAAAATTCAACATAACAAAAATAGCGTAATCATACAATTATAGGATTAAATATAAGTTCTAAAAATGAATGCTCGAAATCGAAATAAAATAAATTTCATTTACTGACTATATAATACGGTTACAAAGAAACAGGGACCAAAAGTGACATTAGACCCTAAAAACCCAAAACACGCGGGTAAGTTTACAAAGCTAGGAGGACTAAAAGTGTAGTTATCCCATAACTCGAAAACACGGATGGGGTTGAGGGCAAAACGGTCGCGTTTCAGGTGGGAGTTAAAAGCCCAAAACATGGGCTAAATTCTTCTCATCCTTCATTTGCTTCATTTGAAAAGAGAGAAGAGAGATAGAGAGTTTCAGAGTTCTCTGAAACTCTCTCAACCGAGAAAAGGGCCACGGCAGCCGAAGGCTCCCACGGCGGGGCCGACGGTGGCGCATGGCAGCGCACGGCTGCCGGAGGAAGCCCAAAAGACTCAAAAACTCCTCCGCTCTCACCCTCTACTCGAAAACCGACCCTAATCGGCCTAGAATAAACCCTAACCCCCTAAATCTAGATGGTTACCTTTGAAAGAAGCGAAAAGGCCGCCGGCTTCTGGGCTTTCTGACGATCTCCAAACCCAGGTATGAATATTTCTTTCCCTATTTTGTGGTTCTCAGTTTTTTTCTCTCAAGGTTGTTTGCTTTTTCTTTCGTTTCCCTCTGTTTTTTTTTTTTGGTATTTTCCTTTTTTTTTTTTTGTCTCTGAACCCCAATCCTCTCTTGTTCTTCTCTCTGTTTTTTTTTACCAACCGAATGACCCCCTGTTCTCTTTGCTTCCTTTGATTTATGTGGGATCTTTGGTGATAATGATGAAGCCTCTACATAGGTGAAATGATTTTCCAGATTTTGCTATGTTAAATCCCGAAAAATCGGGATTTAACTTATTTTAATATGGGGTTTTAAATAGGTTACTGTAAATGATAACTTGGGACTGATTTGGGGATGTTTTGCACTGTAGATGACGCTGGTGACGTGGGAACGGCGGCTGGACCATCGGAGTGGGCCGGAACAGTGACGGCGGCGCGGCTGTCCATGTGCTGTTGCTGGCGGCGGCTGGATGATTTAGGGTTTTGAAACCCTAATTACTTGGGCCAAATCCAGGCCTGGTTTGAGTATTGGGCCTGAACCGGGTCTTGTTGGGCCTTGTTGTATTGGGCTTTGGCCTGCAAAATATGTAAAATGTAATATTAATAATATAATAATAAATAAATAATAATAATAATAATAATAATAAAATAACGATAAAAAACCCGGGCAAAAACGGGTGTCTACAACCAGGAGTTATTATCTTGACTACCTGATTGTTAAATTATTATTTTATATATGAATTGTATGAAAAGTAGACCAGTGAAACTAATATATGAATGAGAAATCTATCATATGGATCATAGATTGTATCATACTTATTGATGATATTGTATGTTTATATTTTTATCTCTTTGCTTATGTTATCTAGTATGATTATATCTATGAATTGTAAGTAGCATAATAGAGTACAAGTGTACCATTAAATTTTGTAAAACTTGGCATTCAGATGTTTTTGCTTGCAAATTAGTAGCTTATGTTTGTTCGAAGATCATCATCGTAATTCTAGCATTGTTGTATCAGAGTAAAATATATCGACGTATCAAAATAAAATATTGTTTACTTAAGAGAACATAAATATTAATAGGACAATTGTCTACTTATTTGGTCTACAAATTCTATTGGTATTGAATTATTTTGATTTGTATTAAACTGTCACATAACTCCAATTTTTGTATAAATATTTTATAATTGTCATGGGTGTCATTTTGGTATATAAACATTGTAAATTGAACCATAGTTAAAAAATAAATTTGATGATTTCTTCGATGTTTCAATATCACATCTTTAATTTTTTTTTAAAAAAAAAATATGATATCTTAAGCCCATTATATAGTAGATCAGGTTTGGGCATTACAAAAATAAAAATGTTTATTAATTTATTAAAATATTAATAAAAATATTTCTATATTGAAAAACAAGTTTCACTTGATCGAAAATGTATTATTAAAAATTAAAATTTTATTTTTTATGTTTTCTTAATATTTTAATATTAATAAATTTCATTCACGTGTTGTTCATTTTCATTAAAAATAATTTTTAAAATTAAACAATATATTTTTAATTAAAAATTTGTTTTAATATTTTTCTTATTTTGTTATAGATTAAACAAAATAAAATATTTTTTAGTTAAATATTGAATATTGAACTTAACCTAATGTTCAAAGTGTGTCTACACTCTTTTCAATACCTAGGATTCATTCTCCCACTCATCCTTTCTCATATTTTCTATAACACTAATTATATATTTGAATCTATCAAGTAATTTTAATGGTTAAAGAGAATGTTATTTCACATAAGAATCTTATATTCGAACAGTTACGTTTGTAAGGTGTAAATTATAAATAATTAAGAAATATATTGAATAAACATTATCTTATAATAACTCTAAACTATAATAGTTATTATCAAAAAATACAATTATTGAACCTTAAGTAGATATAAAACATGATTGTTCCTCGACCCAACCCATGTTTGATTCCTCTTCCCTCTTTCTTCTATTCTTTTATTTTATTATATATATTTTTTGGATAAGATGGTAATTTGATTTAATCTATTTTAATAACTTTTTTTATAAAGCAGATATATTATATTTTAAAGATAAATATTAAAATTTGAACCTATATAAAATAGGATAACATGAACATTATTGATCATTTAGTCAATTAATGAATTTTTGTTTTAATAATATATTAGCTTAATTAATAAAATATTTAATTCAATAATATAAATAAAACATATCATATAATTTAATTATTTAAATGATTTTCCCGTAATTCCAAATGCAAATCATATGCTTTTAATAAAAATAATATAAATAATATAAATATTTAAGGTTTAGGATGTTGGGATAAATTTTTTAATAAAATCACGGAATTGCCATTTGCCTCCCACCGACCTCTCTCGGCCTCTTTTTTCCCTAAAGAAAGAAATCCCAGAAAAGTAGGAAAAAAATCAAACAAACCAAACAATAAAATTCAATTAAACGACGAGTCGACGACTCGCGTCTCCACCGAGCCGCCGCCGCCGTATAAATCGCTCCCCCCTTTTTTTTCTTGGCTTCTCTTAAATATTGATTTCCGTTTAATCATAATTCTGATTCTTTCTAATCACTTGCGATCCGATCCGAATGTACGATTCGAAATCATCCCTCCTGTTCTTTCTTACCATTTCATTGCTCTCCTTTTGCGATGCGGATTCGGGTCGGAAATGCTCCAATAAGAGCTCCCTCATCGGGTTCGAATCGAATTTCACGATGGTCCAGCATCAACTGCGAGGCCATCTCAAGATCCTCGACGATTGCTCTTTCCAAGTCACAAGATTTGACATGTTAGCCGGTTCATCCGACGTCGTTTTCTGGGGCGCCGTCTCCGTCGATTTCTCTAACATCACCCGTGGGTTCCCGATATCCGATCACCGCTTCAACCAAACAACTTACAGAAACGAATCGTTTTTGGTTCAATTACTCCCCAATGTCACCTGGGACCAGATTAAGGTTCTCTCCGTCTGGGATGTCACTACCTTCTCGGACTTCGGCCACGTTAGCCTCCCCATGAACGGGTCGGATTCAGATCCAAGCCGGGTATATACAATGTTCGATAACTGCAAGAACTTGTCCGATAATTATAGGGTTCGGTGGAGTTTGAATGTGGAAAAAAATTGGATCGAGGTCGGTTTAGAAGCGGCAACGAAGACCATGAATTACATGGCGTTTGGGTGGGCGAATCCGAATGCAACCAAGGAACTGATGTTGGGAGCCGACGTCTCCGTAACGGCTTTTACTGAGGAAGGTAGGCCCTTTGTTGATGATTTTTACATTACCAGTTATAGTGAATGCATGTTCCATGGTAAAGATGGTTCAGCTATAGGTGTTTGTCCTGATGTAGTTTATGAGAACTCCACAAATGGCAGGGAGTTAAATAATACTAGGCTGGTTTATGGACATAGGAGAGACGGGGTTTCCTTTATTAGGTTTAGGAAACCGTTGAAATCTGACGATGATAAATATGATTTGCCTGTGGATCCTATGGAGGAAATGGCTGTTATTTGGGCTTTAGGGTTGATGAAACCGCCTGATACTATTCGACCATACTATTTGCCCCAAAATCATGGGGGTCCAAAAATGGTTGCATTTGGAGATTTGGTGCTTAATGTTTCAGAGAACGTGGATGATTGTTTTGGGCCATTGGATGCGGATGATAAGGAGGACCAAGATTTGATTATCGCTGATGCAAATGTGCCCCTAGTTGTTACAACAGGGGAGTCTTTGCATTATCCATATCCACCGAATCCATCTAAGGTTTTGTATATTAATAAGAAGGAAGCTCCAGTTTTGAGAGTGGAAAGAGGGGTTCCAGTGAAGTTCTCGGTGCAGACAGGGCATGATGTTGCTTTGTATATTACTTCTGATTATATAGGTGGAAATGCAACGTTGAGGAATGCAACCGAGACTATTTATTCTGGAGGGCCGGAAGCAGAAGGAGTTGTAGCAAGCCCTTACGAATTGGTTTGGGATCCTGATAGGAATACCCCTGATCAAGTGTTTTATCAGTCATTATACCAGCCAAAGATGGGGTGGAGAGTTGAAGTGGTTGATGGTGGTCTTTCTGATATGTATAACAATAGTGTGTTTCTTGATGATCAGCAAGTTACTTTCTTTTGGACATTATCAGAAGATTCAATATCTATTGCTGCTCGTGGTGTAAAGAAGAGCGGCTATCTTGCAATAGCTTTTGGTAGTGAAATGGTGAATAGCTATGGTTATGTGGGTTGGGTTGATGATATTGGTAAAGGGCGTCTAAATACATATTGGATTGATGGAAAGGATGTTTCTAATGTGCATCAAACGAATGAGAACATGACACATGTCAGGTGCAAGTCAGAAAATGGCATCATTACTTTGGAATTCACACGTCCCTTGAAGCCATCATGCAGTAGTCATGATAAGAAGCCAGAGTGCAAGAACATTCTTGATTCAACAACTCCTCTTAGAGTAATTTGGGCAATGGGTGCCAAGTGGTCTGAGCATCTTAGTGAGAGAAATATGCATTCTGTCACGAGTCAAAGACCCGTGCGTGTGATGCTTACGCGTGGTTCTTCTGAGGCTGAGCAAGATTTGCGACCGGTCTTAGCTGTACATGGATTTATGATGTTCGTTGCTTGGGGTATTCTATTTCCGGGAGGAATATTAGCTGCTAGATACCTTAAACATGTAAAAGGTGATGGATGGTACCGAATTCACATTTACCTACAGTATTCTGGACTATCCATTGTCCTACTTGCTGTTCTTTTTGCTGTTGCTGAACTTCATGGTTTCTTTGTTAGCTCATTACATGTCAAGTTTGGGATCGCTGCTATATTTTTGGCCTTTGTGCAACCAGTGAATGCATACCTCAGGCCTAAGAAATCTGATAATGGTGAGAAGGCTTCCTCAAAGAGGATTATTTGGGAGTATTTCCATGTAAATGTGGGCAGAGGTGCCATTGTTGTAGGAATTGCTGCTCTTTTCACTGGAATGAAGCATTTAGGAGAAAGATATAAAGGAGGAAATGTCCATGGACTTAGCTGGGCATTAATGATTTGGTTCGTGGTTGGTGCATTGATGGTCATTTATTTGGAGTATTGTGAAAGAAAGCAGAGGAGGAACCGGCTTTTAGGAAGGGGAAATTGGGTCCTCGGCAACATTGAAGAAGAGGATTCTGTTGACCTTCTAAACCCAAACCACGCCTCCACACTTTCAAGTCCACAGAATTCTGGACTAATGGAAGTTCAGTTAGAGCCATTGAACAGATAAATTTAGTGATACATATATTTTTCTGTTTGAATATAAAAGTATAATTCTTCACCAGTTTCGGAAGTCTCCTACAAGCATCGAGTATAGCAGAGCTGTTTCTTCTCTTGAGCGGCTTTCTCCAAGATGAGTACCATATGAGAATTTTGTGCGACCGTCTCCACCTGTGAAGGTCAGTTTGTCAGCATGTATTTTTTACACTTGATACTCCTTTTAGCATAGTGGGAGGTTTTATCAGTTTATGAAATCTCATTTCTCGAGTGAAAGGTACCTTACTTTGTTTTCAGCTGAGATCAGTGATTAGATTGTCAAATTTTATCTCACCATACTTGCAAATGATACTTGGATCATCTAACATACAATCTAGTCTCTTTTCTAATAATAGTGCATGCTGCATGTGTTATTTCTGTTTTAAGTTTTGATATTCTTTGATCTTTCGTCCTATATGTATGTATGCTAGTGTTGCCACATTAGTTGAGTGAATCCGTATTCTGTTGTCAAAATGAGTACACCATTTCTCTTGTGGTGGAAAAGGACTATATCCACACTGCAATACTTATATATGAAGCTAACTGATTTTTTGTGGTTTGGATTTTTTTTCAAATTTCAATCAAACAGTTGACTTGTTTGAGGTTTTGATTTGAATAAATAGTTTGAGTTCTTCGAATGACTCGAATAATTCTAAAATATTTAACTACCATTCAATCCCATCTCGTGCACAATTGATTGGATATATATAATTTCAATAATATTTGGATTCAAACATGCATTATTATTTTAAGTTTAATTCCAATAACAACTAGTTTCAATCTGATTTATGTAATATTATTTGTTGGATAGTCGAGTATGTTAAATATTTATATTTATTAACTCAAAAAATATATATTTATCCAAATTCAAATATAAAATTTGGATAATTAAATGGTTATTTACAAAGATAAAACTAATTTATAATGTTCAAAAATTCTTATTAACATTTAATATAATTTTATTCAAATAATAATTAAAATATTTACATTTAAATATTAATTGAATTCATATAAAATAGTTGTAGTATCTAAAGTAGGGATGATCAAAAGTCTAGTTAGATTTTTTGGGCAAAACTCACGACATAATGCATTCAAAAAAAATATTTTACGAGATGATGCACTGGCCAGATTAATTGCTCGAATGGGGTAAATTCTACAGTGACAGCATAGGTCGCCATGCACGCCCGACGTCCTTATAGGTCGCCATGCACGCCCGGCGTCCTTATAGGTCGCCATGCACGCCCGGCGTCCTATAAGGTCGTCATGCACGCCCGGCGTCCAACATTCTTTTCCCTCTGCTTTGGTTATTTGCCCTCTGCTTTGGTTCTTTGCCCGCTGTTGCCCGCTGATGCTGCTTTGGTGCTATGCATGGGCCATGCACGAGGCATGGGATAGGTCGCGCTGCGCTTTGTTCACGTGGTCTGATCTCGGTAAACCTCTGCATGGGCCATGCACCAAGGATGACCAAGGATCGGTTCATGCATGGGGCACTCGGGGCGATCAAGGATCGGTTCTATCGTAGGTTGCATGGCCGGCGACATGGTAGGTCGCCATGGAGTCCCGGCGACATGGGTGGTCCTAAGCTTTAACCCTATCCCTCATCTAACCCTATCTGCATCATCATGCATCCATAGCTGGGAGATTCCTGCATCGCGACCAAGCTTTAACCCTATCACTCATGCATGCGTTGCATCCATAGCTAGCTGAGAGATTCCTGCATCCGTAGCTACATGCGTTGCATCCATAGATGTATGATTGCAGCGTTAATTTAGCTATTAAATGCAGCAAATATTGCTGTTCAATTGAAGACTTTCAATGCTCAATAGTTATACAATTCAATCCTAATATTATTTTATTCAATAGTCAAATTTTAATGACTTTGTACAACAATTTTTTGCTTTATATAAATGATATGGGGTTTAGGGTAGAAGCAGAAGCAGAACCAGGAGCATAAGCATAAGCACATATAAACTTTGCCGAGAGAAAGAAAAGGAAGAAGAAGAAAATAAGATAAAGGATCAAACATAGTTTGTGAGGTAATTTTTTATTGTTTAATTTAGTTTATTATATGAAATTAGTAGTTTGTTAGTTTAGGGTTTAGGGTAAAACTAAAATCTAGTTAATTAGTTTGTTAGTATAAATTATTAGTTTGTTAGTTTAAGTTATATATTATATTATATAAAAAAATTAGTTAATTAGTTTATTAGTTTAAGTTATTAAATATAAAAAAATATTAATTAATTTGTTAGTGTCTTTAAACATATATTAGATTGTTCATTGAAGTTGAAGTTATATTATAAAAAAATTAATTAGTGCTTAATTAGCGTGTTATTTTAACTAAGTTATATTATAATAAAGAAATAGCTTATTAGTTTAAGTTATATTATAATATATTAGATTATATAAAATTAATTTGTGGGAGCTATTGCTATTTAAATAAATTAAACGGTTTACACATACAGGGCATTATTCCACAACATTTGCCTATGTTGAAATTGATTCGAATAAAGAAACAAAGAAGGAAAAGAAAGGAAAGGAGGAAGGCATAAATACGTGAGTAATTTATTATTTTTTGTTGTCCATTTTTTGTTGTTGTGTATGTGTAAATTAGTTAGATAGTAAGTTTATATTAGATTATATAAACTAATTTGTGCGAGATAATTTTTGTTTAAAAAAATATTGTGTTTAAAAATATTTAGTGTTGTTTTAAAAAAATATTTTGTTTTATTTATATTGTATGTGTAAATTAGTAAGGAGTAAAAATTAATTGAATGAAATAATCCGGCCAACGCATTATCACGATATTTTACCTAACAAATTTGTTTGATATTTTTAAAAAATAAAAAATATTATCAAACTAATCATGATTATTAGTAATAATTACTAAATGATTAGTATCAAATCTAAATCATTAAATATTTATAATAAATAATTATTAGTAATCATGACTAAATCATATTATTATTAAATCATTAAATATCAAATCATTAGATTAATAATAATTATTAAATCATTATTAATAATATTAGTAATCAATCAATTAATCAAGTTAAATAACAAATTTTATTTGATCATTAATATAATAGTATATTATATTATATTTAATGATTTAATGTTTTATGAAATTATCTTATCTAATATTTTAATCTAAATTAATTTATTTTTTTATTTGTAGAGAAAATGAGCAACAACTTTTTCACGATTGTCCATTATAATGGACAGATTATGGAAAATGAGGTCGGAGTAGTTTTTCAGTCTGAAAAACCAATAAATATGATGTTCAAAAAAGACATCACATTTATAGAAATGAAGCATAAGATAGAAAGAAAAATTCGAGCTGTAGTTGATGGTTTGAGGTATAGGTTTATGATATGCCCCAACCCAGTCAGATATGTTGCAGTTCCACTTGAAGAAGATGATGATATTAGAACCATGGTTGGATTACATGAGTCAACCAATATAGCAGTTATTGAGTTATTTGTTGATGTGCGTAACATATGTGATGTTCCTGGGTCATCAAGAGGTGTGGCTCAAAATCCATCTGAAATGGCTTTATATAGTCAGTTTGAGGAGCCGACATACAGGTTCTCGAACAGTTTTATGACACTATTGGAAAGTGTAAATGAAGTTGGGGGGACATCTACAACAGCAGAGTATGAGACGAGGAACATACCGAAATTGGTTGTTGATATTGACACTGAAAATCGATGGGGAGAAATTCACGATGATTCAAGCGAAGATGAAGAAACCGAAGAACCCGTTTTGGGCGACGACGAAAATATTTTTGGTGGAGGTGCAATTGATGAAGTTCCGGCACCGTATGAAGCTACTCCTCACATCTACGAGATAGACTATGATGCGATGAGGGCACCTGAATTCCCAGACATGCCACATTTAACTCCATACCAAATGACTGAATCATTCGATAATTCTGGTGAATTTTCAGTTGGGGTGCAATTCAGAGGAAAAAATGAAGCTACGCTGGCGATTAAAGAGTACTGCATCAAATGCCATGTAGATGTCCATGTTGCAGAGTCTAACCAGAAAACCCTATACGCGAAGTGTATAAAATATGGCCCAGAGTGCAAGTGGAAGATCACACTGTCGAAAAATCAAAGGCACGATGTTTGGGTCATCACGAGGTACAATGGTCCGCACACATGTTTGCGAAACTCCATCGAACAAGACCATCGACTATTGGACTCCGATGTAATATGTGAATACGTGAAGGCGATGGTTGAAAAGGATCCAAGGATATCTTGTTCAGTGTTAGCTGCATGTATTCGAAGCCAATTTGGATATCAAGTAAAATATGGAAAGGTGTGGAATGCGAAGATGAAGGCAATGAAGCTGACGTATGGAGATTGGGATACATCGTACAATGAGCTACCACATTTGCTACAAGAAATGAAGCGATTTATCCCAGGAACCATAGTGAAGTCTCAAACCATGCCCGCATATGACGAAGAAGGTCAACTTCTGTGAGGGAAGAAAATATTTCATAGACTATTTTGGGCATTCAAGGCATGTATTGAAGGATTTCCATTTTGCAAACGTATGATCCAAGTAGATGGTACGTGGCTGTATGGTCAATATAGGCATGTACTTTTGATGGCAGTTGCTCAAGATGGTGAGCGAAATATCTTCCCAATTGCATTCGCCATTGTTGAGGGAGAGACAACAGAGGTTTGGGATTTCTTTCTGACCAATCTACGTCAATATGTCGTTCGTGAAGATGGAGTTTGCTTGATATCCGATAGAGGAACGAGTATTTTGGAGGCAATTGAACGACCAGGAAGTCGTTGGATACCTCCGTATGCATATCCAACATTTTGTATCCGTCATATTGGCAAGAATAGTATCGACCAGTTTCATAATGCACATATTCGTAGCGAGATAGTCAGCATGGGTAAGTTTTATTTACAATATTTGTGCATTTTTTACGTGGTTTTTTTAATTGCGGTTTAACAAAATATATTATGGAACATGATACGAACTACGTCGACCAAATTTTGACAAGAGATTGGAGAATTTGAAGGTATTTTACGATGATCAGCATGTTTGGAAGTGGGCTTCAAAAATACCGCGTGAAAAATGGTTGCAAGCATACGATGAAGGTCGGAGATATGGACATATGACCACAAACCTTGCTGAGGCCATTAATTCGGTACTAAAAGGTACACGCCATCTCCCAATAGCGAGTGTGGTGAAAGAGACGTACTTTAGATTGCCTAAAGTTTGGTCGGACAAAGGTAAGGAAATTGAGAGTCTCATAAATAGAGGTCAAACTTGGGCTCCTACAGTGGTGGAATCAATGGAAGCAAATGAGCGATTGGCAACATCAATGGTTGTT